TCTCTCTCTCTCTCTCTCTCTCTCTCTCTCTCTCTCTCTCTCTCGAACGGTGAAGTTCGCTGCAGTCACCGGGCGTACTGGTAATTAAAGTAATGACGGATAAACCGCCCGCGAAGTAACTAGTGTAATTTATCCGTGACTACTTCCCCGACTGACTACCTCATTACTGTACCTCGATCTTCCCCGAAGTGAATCACCCGCGTATCTTCCGTCGCCTCGCCTCGTCCGGAATGTTCGAATCGTTTGTCTAATTTTTACGGAGATGCTGTGCGCGACAACCTCTACAAATAATCGTTCTAAGCCGAGACAGAATCGCAAAGTAGAGCGCGGATCATATCGCGCAAAACGCGGAAACTATGTCGCGGGATAATTTAGACTAAATACTTGTTCCCGGTGAGAAATTACGACGGCAAGAGAGAGATAAAGAATAAATAATATCTAATCGTTAATAGATATCCGTGGTTGCGCGTTCACGAGCAATTATTTATAGCGCCTTTCACGGAAGGGCTCGTTGCGCCTCCGGCGGAAATTCTCTCCGTTATCCCGACAAAGAGATATCTATCTCGGATCGCGCTGAGAATATCGCGCGGCAAAAAAGCAACGGACACAACTGCATCATTAATCTTGCACAGACACATATTAATTAACTTTTCCTTTTTTTTTTTTAATTCACGCCGCCCGCGCATGCATAACGGACGGGAGAGCTTTTTATAAAGCACCACGCGCCACGTCAAGGTCGTACCTATAACGCACTGAATAATGCAGAGGTGGACGAAAATACATAACTCACCACATGCATCACGGCGCGGTGTACAGCATGCCGCGAAAGAATTGCACGCCGCAAAATTACCGTAGTAATACGGAGGAATACGCGAAGTACGAGCCGGACCCATAAAAGTTTCAAGCAGTTTTCTAATTTAAACTCCCGGGGAGCTTTCTGCTTCATTAAAGCCCTATCTTATCGAGCGGAAATATTCATGTAAATTGTGGTCTTAGGTGCACCGTACGTTCGCAAGCCGGCGCGCTCCTCTACAGAACGGACATTATTTCCATATCGGCTTTTATGGCGCGCGCGCGCGCGCGCACACGCCCGCCAACGAAAATTTATCGCCGGCGAGTGCAGTGTTTTAAAACAATATTTTCGGTGGCTGAAAGAAGGATGAAATTATATTTTCATCCTGTGCATACTTCGCACCGAACGGCAGCTGCGGGGCTCTACCGAGTCGCCCCATGTTAACGAGTCGCCACGTGTCATTTCATTGCAGCGACGATATTTCGCGTGTGATACCAGCAGAAAAGGACAGAACATACTTCGTCGTTCTCTTCTCGCTTTAAGCTTGTAAAAGGACGCTGTATTTGAAAACTTTACCAACGAAGTACTGAACCTTTTTGAAAAATTTACGTCGTACTGGTTGCACAGAATTACAAGTGTTTTTGCACACTGAAAGAGACATGCAGCGATGAATTGGAGCGTTGCTCAATATGTGAGAAAAGTGACAAAAAATGTTAAAATTGACATTTCGAACTGTCAGCGTATAAATATGTTAAAATGTTAAAGTTGACATTTCGATATGAAAATGCGTAAAAATATTAAAATTTACACATCAAGCCGTCAACACAAATATTTACTTGATAAAAAATTCTGTAAGCTTGTACGTACTGTACGAGTGTTTGCCCCGCTAACAAAAATTTCAAGAGAAACACCTCCGTATCTTTACAATAGAATTTAGAAGCTCCAAAACATATAAACAGTTTGCAGAAAGATTATATATATACGTGATTATACGAGTATTTACTGTTAACACAGTAAGTAAGAGGGTGCAATCCACTAGACGCTGCAAACATTTTGAGGTGTCTAAAAAAAAATCGTCACTGATTTACACGGCGCTTCAAAGTATTTGCAGCGTCTGATGAATCGCACTCAAAGCAGTATTATAACATTGTTATAAGATCTATATATACAAGAAATACGAAAAGGATGATGGTGTTAATGACGATCGTTTTTACGTTATCGATATTCTATGAACTCGTCATCTACTTCAGCATTCCCTTAAAGAGAAAACAATGTCGCTTCCTTTCCCAGAGAGTTGTAAATTCCGACGAAATATCCCTATAATTAACTAAAAAGCCTGCGAATCACGTTTCGAGCCGTCGGAGGGAGACGCAGGTCGATCTGTTACGGCTCTATCCTAATCGATCACGTCGCTGTCTCATCCGCGAATCTCAATAAGGTCTCATCGTAAATTCTCTGCTCCAGGACACCGACGGGCCTGGAGGACGTCAGCAAGTACCCGGAGCTCTTCGCGGAATTGCTAGCGCGTGGCTGGTCGGAGAGAGACATTCAGAAGCTGGCTGGCCTGAATCTTATACGGGTGTTCAAGGCAGTGGAACAGGTAAATTATTCTTCCCCGAGGAAAAAAAAATAAAGAAAGAAAGAAAGAAAGGGGAAGGAGAGGGCGGACCGTCTCTCATCCGTCCAATCTCTCGCGGCGCGAGCTCGATGAAAAAAAGCGTGACGCGTGGCCGAAGGTGGAGAAGCCGCTTCGACGATGGTGAACGGAGTGAACGCTCGTTTCTGCCGCGAGATAACCGATGGCCTGGTTCGGGTTAGCCGACTCGACCAATATCGGATTTAATAAAGCACACAAATCATGCATCCGGCCCGCTCGGTGCATCGTCGGACGAGAAACCCCGGCGATTTTTGCTCCCTTGGAGTCCTGCCAGCCGTAGTAGAACCAGCTGGCACGATCCACTACCCCATTCGATGGTGCCTTTCTCCTTCCTTTGTCTCTTCCCTCGCTCACTCACCCACCAATCGTCCCTCTCTCTCTTTCTTGCACGCGCGCGCTTATGACGTATAGCCACATATGACGTGTGTATTAAACGGCTCTAAAGTATCGTGCTCTCTGGATCGCTCAACACTGACGTTTCATAAGTGCACTTTGCGAAAGATAAGCGTTCAAGGGACAGCCCGCGTGTTTCATCTCTTCAGTACCTTTTTTTATTCGTCGATGCTTTAATTAAAATCCGACGTTTAAAACGGCGCTTTTTTCCGTAACAAGTTACGGAAGAATGTAATCGTGTACAATTTAGTGAGAAAGGGGAGAGGGAATAATTGGCCGTAGTTATACAAAAATGATCCAATCTTGTACGTTAAAAAAATGAAAATGAAAATTTGGTGCATGATTTAAGAAGTATATAGCATTGAGGTTCTTCACAATCGTTCAAGATGTCAATTTTCTTCTCTTTAGATTCTTCTCTTAATGTTCATTAGCAAAGCTAATTATTAGCTAACCTTTAAAAAATTGGTAAAAAGGACGCAACTAGATAATATAGAAAACAAAAACTGTTTTCTAATCAATTTTAGTTGTCAATAGGGCTTGAATCTTTTTGTTTTATGTAGAAAGATTTATGGACGGAAAACAACTTCGTCAGTGTAATCCAATTTTCTTTTGACCCAATTGTCACTTGAAGACTAGGTGAAAAACTCAATTGTAAGTACAGAAAGATCCTCGTAAGAGGTTTCTACTCAGCCGATTCCTTTCAATTATCTCATCTGAGTTTTAATGCAACGTTCAGACTGAATGCTCAAACGAACGTTTTTGATCGCGGTAACAGAGATATTACTTCTCGCCAGCGAGTTTTTCATCTGGTATTCAGTCGCACGGACTGAAATATTTTCCACATTAAGAAAAATTATTCGATAAAAAATTAACAAACGGATATTTCCGATCAAGATGATTTTTATATCCGATCAGGATATCCGATTAAATTTAATCGAATACTTTCGATCACAATGGCATTTTATCAGATAAACCGATGAAAATAACCGAACCGATATTTCTAATCGGATGTTTTCTGATCGGATACAAAAATTTATTAATATTTTGGTCAGAAATATCCGTTTGTTAATTTTTTATCGTATAATTTCTCTTAGTGCGTGTGTCCATTGGTAACAAGAACTCATAATTTTGCGGGTTGGATCGTTTCTGCACAACTATGGTTAATTGTAGTAATTATTTTATTTTGTTTTCTCCTTTCTCTTCCGAGTTAATAGGCACACACAGGGTTTATCGATGGAAACGTGTGGGGTCAAAGTTACGGCGTTTAAAGGATTGAAAGCGTTACAATCAGTCCGTCCATTCATTTATCTAATTATAATATCACCGGTATTTCGCTAATGAAAATGCATCCCGTCGAAATTTCACCGCATTCCCTCATATTTCACCGAATAAAATTTTATTAAATTTCATTCGACTTCTACACTTCGGGACACACATTCTGATAATGTCTCAGCGTGTGTATTTCAGCGTTAAACGCGCCCCTCCCCCCCCCCCCCCC